GTCAGAATTGCCATTGCCATAACGTGATAATATCGATAATAGAGTAATATGGTATAGTATTTGCTGATACCAATATTAAGCTTTTGTCTGTGGTATAAACCAAATGTATGTTAACTGATAGTGAGGTTTACAAATTAATCACTTAAAAAATAATTTAGCCTGCCCAAAAAGACAAATCTGATGCACTGAGGATAAACTTGACAATACACACACAGACTGAAGCAGTGCAGGAAAAAATAAAATAAAATAAACTGGTGCCAAATATCAACAAAATGTTCAGTATCGATTCAGATAAATCCTCTGGTATCACTGATAACTAATATACCACCCCTACTTTAAAGCAAATATTCTATCACAATCTAGCTACATAGATTAAAATCTAAACTAAACTAAAATCATCTTAAATATATGCGAGGAAATAGCAACTTAAAATGTAAATGGTGTAAAATAGTTGTGCTTCTGTATTAAAGAACAAAGTAGTTTTAAATAAATATGACCTAAAATGACCTTTGTGATATATCCTATTTGGTTTGGTACTGTGATAAATTCCAGTAAACCAACAGTGAATAATTTCTGATTTAATAAATAATAATAATAAATCTACACATGATTTGGTAACACTTTACAATAACTACACTTTAGTAGCCTTAATAAAGTATGAACAACTATGACTGAAGTGTAACTACTTAATTAATACTATAACCCAACTTCTAACCCTAACCTCTTTGTTAAGAAGTTAGTAACTAAGCCTGAGTCACTTTTAATAAATTATATGTTCATTATTAGTGTATGTTCAGGCGTCTTTATAATATAATATAATATAAAGTGTTATCCATGATTTTAAAACTAAAGTTAACATGAGAATAGTCTTTCAGTATTGAGAAAGAAATAACTCACACGCACGTATGCAAAACAAAATCAGTCAAACACTTCACAGTTTTGGTCCTTCGCCTTGGTTGTGTGAGCATCCTTACCTCAAAAAGGGAACTTGCTTTGGAACCCAAATAGCTTATCGCCTCATCTGTTTCCTACTTTGTCCTGCATGAATTAACTTACAGCTTTTTTGCTGATGTGCGAGAAATCACACATCCAGTGGCAAACCCAGGGATGACCATAACATATTGAAATGTATTAAGGGAAAACAGTTGTGAGATTTTCATGCGAACATCCAACTTCAGACAAAGTTGTGCATGGGTGCTCTCACTTCTGCAGACCAATTTCTTCTTTTTTTTTTTTAGAATGGAGATATTAAAATAAGTTGGTCCGAAATAACTTGCTGGGAACATCCTGAGTGAGTTTTGAATGATGTAACTGGCGTCTGAAAGGGGAAACTGCTGTCTTAGTCTTATCTGATCCACTTAGACAAGTAATACCATGTTATATTCCTACACCATCCTGACGGGCCTGGATAAGGGGCTGCATTTTAAGTCTATCGGCGCGCTTATCACCATTTAACTCCGAGATTGTTCTGCATCAAGCGCTAGGGAAGCATTCATCAAATAATTCACCAAGAAGACGATAAAATGAAATCCTCTGCCATAAAGAGACAGCTAATGTGGAGACAATGTGATTAGAATAAGGCGACGGCAGCGTGACAAGTTTATCAGTTTGTCCAATGCAAAAGACAGGGAACATATGAACGTATGACTGTAGGTATTAAGGCGGAACCACAACACTGTAATTATAGCAGTTAACAAAGTAACACAAATGCACAATGAACTTCTGAACTGTAGAGCTTAGGCGATCAGAATGTATATTAGTCGACTTAGCATTTTATTTAGAATCTTAAGGTGCATGGTGTAACATTTCTAGTAGAGGGCCCACTACTGCTTTACATTTTTTGGATTAAACTTATCTATCACGAGGGAGACAGGTAGGTTACAGCACTACGCTACATTACAATTCAGATCTGCGGAGAGTCGCCGCTTTTCACAGAAGGAATTATTGTATTTTTGAGCAATAGAAACACTAGGGATGTAACAATAACCAAAATATCGTGACGTTGTATTGTCAAAAGTCTCACAATAATATCGTGGGCTGTCGCAATGTATCAAATCATGTTTTATAGTAGCAACAGCTTATAAACATAGGGAACTACATATCCCATGATTCATTTCAGTGCAGACAACATGAAGAAATATGTTTTTACTTGAATTCTTGGGATTATGATGGTAATAATTAGGGGTGTGCAAAAATTTTGAAATATCGATATATCGCCAACAGTATTTTTTGGTATATTTTACTAAATTGTTTGTTACAGCGCTACAGTTTTGTTGTTTGTTTAGTAGAAGGAAACTCGTGTATGTGACACATTTGACATTTTCACTGTTTTGATGATTAAAATGTTAGCAGGGTCCCTCTACACTACGTTTATCATCACCATTAATACACAGTTCACGGTATATTCTCTTTTTGAGGGATTACAGCATTCCCCACAGGCACACTTCACTTTATTCTCACAGGTGCAGGCCATTCATAATTTTGCACCTCACGTGACCAAAAATTCTTACATGCTATTGGGAAATACAATACAAATCATGACTCTATATAACACATACAAATAATAAAGTGAGAGCACAACTCAACAGTGGAAGGAAGCTCGTTTATGTGACACATTTGACATTTTCACTGTTTTGATGATTATAATGTTTGTATTTCATATTCACTTTGCACAAGAAGTAGTTTAACGAAGACTTTTAGTTTCGCAGTCATGATTTCGCCTTTATTTTTTATTGAACTGTATCGAATTGATTTGAAATATATCGTATTGAACCGAAAGCTCACTGTATCGAGGTAAGTATTGTATCGGCAACTTCTTAATGATACCTAGCCCTAGTAATAATTCACACTAAAATCTTGTCAAGGTATTTTAAAAGGAAAAAAGTATCTGATTCACAATTATACTAGCCTCCTTAAAATATTGCAATAAATATTGTACCATGAGATGTATATTGTGAAAATATCGTACCATTTTGATTTTCCCTAAGAAACATTTGTTATAAATGGAAATGTTTAAAGTCATACCATGGAACATTCCAGGCAAAACAATAACATCTCCATGGAGACAAGAAGGACTCTCCATCAAAAAACATGCCCACTGCACCTTTAACAATTTATATGGGACAACTGCAGAAAGAAAGTTGGTGAGTGAATTTGCTGCAGATTTGTTTTTTTTGGGGTTTTTTTTGGTATTTACACACAACCAGTCAAAAGGTTTGGACACACTTTCTGATTCAAAGTTATTTTTTCTTTATGTTTATTACTCTATACTTTATGTACACAAAGAAGACCTCAGATATATGCAGCTAGATGTATGAAATTATGTAGTAAAGAACAAAAAAGTATAAAATAACTCTAGATAACTAAAGATTTTTATTCAGTTTCTCAAAGTCACCACCCTTTGCTTTGTTGACCGTGCTGCAAACCCTTAACCTTAAATCATTCAGCTTCTTGATGAATTCACATCAAATAACCAAGGTCTAAGCAGTGACTTATTTTGTAAAACCATAAAACAAGTTCTGAGTTATTTTGAGTTTTGTTTTTTCTTTGGAACTTTTCATGTTCCATTAATAATTTTGATGCCTTCTTTGACAATCTACAATGTAAATAATCATGGAAATAAGGAAAAAAAACATAAATGAAAAGGTGTATCCAAAGTTTTGACTGGTAGTGTATGCAAAAAAGCAGATTAAACTCAGGATTCACAAGTTAAGTACCTTTTCTGCGATTAACTGATGTTTGTGCATGAACTTCTGCACAGTTGTAGTCTTGTGAGTGCACTTTGGGTCAACTCCATAAAGAAAATAATTTTGAAAGCTTTTGCCAAGCCCCCCCTTTGACCAATAGGGGTCAGTTATGTAACAAATGAACACTTTTATTACATCTATTTAGTTGTGGGTCTTATGATGTTTATGTTTATGATGTATCCTTGAACTGGTTGAACTTGAACAGTTTTCTTTACAAAATTTTCTGTTTGCCTTCCCAGGTGTTTGAGAAACTTTTGCTTTTCATTGGCTTGTCAAGTTGTTGCCAAATCTAAAAAGAGCTGACCTTTAACCTGTAACCTGTCCAGTTCTCTGGACCCATCTTGTGTATTTTTAGCTGGCGTAGCTCTCAGGGTCATTGGCACTAGACATTTCTAGTCTTGACAAGGCAGTTGTCAAAAACTAATAGTTACACAACACATTTATATACAGCTGATTATTTTAATGTTGCACACTGAAGGCATGATGGATGAAGTGTCTTGCTCTGGGTGTAAGCAAGAATTACAACTCCACGTATAGTTTGCAGCTCCACTTATAGCTGCTCTTATTGTGATATGTAAAAATGTTAATGAATATGTTTTAATTTGTTTTTAAAATAAGATTCCTTGGAAAATTTATCTAATGTATTTTATCTTCTTTTTTTACTATAAACTTGAGTCAAACAGGTGAAAAATGTATAAGATATTTCATGTGTCTGACTGTCCAAACACATCAGGTAAATAAGTTTATTTACATTTTCATTTCCACCTTTTTGAAAACACAAAATAGTTTGTTGTCATCATGGTGCCACAATGTGTGTCGTGTAACTATGAAAGTAGATGTGAAGAAGTAGCACAGAAAAATGATTACGCCAAACGGGAAAAAAAGACACAGAAGTGTTTTCAAAGAAGATAAATATAACACAAAGGTTCCTCTAACTCACAAAATTTTATGTAATATAGGTCCTTTAAAAAGTGCTGTTGCCCAGTAATTGATCAATGAACATTTTAAGTACTTGAGATGGAGTTGCTTCAAAAGTGTTATTATGGTTTACGAGTAGTGACCCAGCAGTTAATGTGCCCGCTCCATGACTCTTATGTTTACTTTCTACATAGTTTTGGCTAATACATTTCTATGGACAATTTATCAGCTTACAACAAAAATGGTGCCAATAATGATCTCATTCTCCACTGGTTACACCCCCAACCCTCCCCTTTTGAGAGAAGTTCCAGACTCTGCCAGTTGGTTGGCACTCACCACATAGCAGGGCTCGCAGTAGGCCTTCTTGTCCACGGCGTAGAAGGGCTTTCCACGCAGTTTGCTGCTGCAGGTCATACACACGAAGCAGTCCACGTGGAAGACCTGGTCCATGGCCGTGCAGCCGGTGCCCTCGCCCACCACGTTCTCCCCACAGCTGGCACAGCGCCCTGGGGAGAGGGAGGGAGAGCGAACAGAGTCAGCCCAGATGGAGCACACACATACACACACAAATTAATTTATGTTAAAACAACTTTAGGATTCAATCAATAATGTAAGTATATACTGTTCATGGGCAAAAGAGATGTACTGCTTCTGAGGATTCAAACATAGAAAGATAGAAAACTAAAAAGAATGCACTCATTGTAACCTTTTGAAAAAGTCTTTTAGTTTAAACAAGATGTCAAATAAATTTTCACATATAAAAGCAGTCGCTATCAAATACTGAACACTCAACAATAGGAGGTACAAGCACAGTTTTTAATGAATGAATTATTAACACAATATCTGACTTCTGAAGAGTGTTCCTTGAATGAGAGACCTTCATTTACAATTAAATCCAAGCAGTAATGGGGGTAAACTGTGTCAAAAGTATTTTTGTTTGAATAGAAAAGGCAGTAAATTAGACTATTTCTTCAAGTGGAGTCAGTATTCTCACTGTGATACAATGGGCCCTTTATGCTTCCCATTTTGGTTAGTTACAATGTCAGATGTAACTGAAATAAAACTAATTTAATAAAAGGATTGAGGGTTAATTAAGAGTATTGGTAAAATGAAATTGCACAATGAATGATTGCATAGTATTCAGTGCAAGTGTATGTATTTTTTAGTGATACACCGATAGTGATACTGGTATCAGATATCAGTGAAATGGTGTATCGGCTCCCAAGTATCAGTTCAGCCAATATGCTTTTTGGAGCAAGAAATGTATGTAATAAGAATATTTCCTGGTTACAGTCGGTTTTTACAATTTTTACAGAGTTATTCAATATTCCTACTGTGTCGTCTTTAAAAAGAACTAAATTCTAAAAAAGTGAATGTACAAAAGTAGAGAAAGTTTTTGGATAAAGTGATTCTGTATTTCCTGGAGGTATAAGTAAGAGCTACATAACGCACTTGGATGTGTTTTATTTTTGTTTAAAGGAAATAAATGCTGTTTTCAGTCTCTGCACTGGTATGGTATCGAAATCAATAGTGGAACTGAAAAAGCTGGACCGACGCATCCCTAATATTTTTCTTACAGACCGTGGAAAGTACAATGCATGATGCTCAACTCTGTGACCACACTTTTAAATAACTTTTTACTACTAATTTCTCAGGTACAAATCTAAAGAAGCAGTAATCTCAATAGAACAAAGACATATCTGATTTACCTGCTTCATTATACACTGCTGTCCAGTTTTTTCAAGCGTCAATATCAGAAGTACCTCATTTCCACTGCCACTTCTATTTCAAAACGCAGATAAGCAAGGATTAAACGCTATAATTATTCCCCTTTAAAGACGCCACGCAGTTCGCCAAAAAAGTCTGACGCGATGACATTATTTTCCAAAAGTCTCGATAAAAAGAAAACTTCACAAGTCCAAGTCGGTCTTTGTGTAAAAAGTGATACTACTACTATTGCGCGGAGAAGAGGCTGATTGCGCAGTACGAGACATGGCAATGGGATATCTCTAATTGAGCGAGCGATATCTTTAATTGAGTTTAAGATGTCCTCCACTCAATGCATTTTATCTTCAACCCAATTAATAACACTGTCAATTTAATTACTGCTATCTCCACAATAATAGGCTTTCAAAAAGATTTTTATTTTTGACACATCTAAGGACCGATGCAAAATGATACAGTATATTTAATTAATTCTTCTATGGATCTTTTGGGGTGTTTTTTTTTTTTCATTTCTTGCTGCATCTAAAGACTGATTTGCCAGTGATTGACACAGGCAGTTGTGAAGAGAGCAGTTCAAGCATTTTAACAGAGGGAGATATGCTATCTGATCAAGCCATTTTTTACACTTGTACTCTGCGTTTTTCAAATCAAAAACTCAAATGATGCGTGTCAGGTATCAGAGAGGAACTTTTATATGTTGAGGAGATGAGATGCCTGCATGACTGGAAGGCTTGCTAATGTCTTTCTAATCTAACATCGCTCATTATCTCATCGAGGGAGATGGAGGAAAGTTGCTCACAGAATCGCTAGACTACAACTTTTCCAGCAAAACAGACAGACAAAATACAGTGTTTGCGGATATGCTTTGCCATTTTACTGAAAGTGTTTTGAAACAACAAAATGATGAACCTTCTTTTGAGATTTTGGATTATAGCCTTTGTTTTTGTAATGTAGGCCTTTCAAGGTGTAATCGGACGTACCCTGGGTGGTTGCGCTAGGTGTGCTGATTGTTGTACAAATGGAAAGATTGGTACCTTGATTACATGCAAACTTGTGTGTGTCCTTTTGCCAAGATCGTGCATCCCCATTCACCTACACTGTGTAACTGGAGATTGTCTAGGGGCTGAAAACACAGATTAGTAAACCTATAGTCAGCTAAAGAAAGTCTTGGTTGAATAAAGGGTGGCAAAAGCTCTGAAAACGATTAGGAACTTTGTATATAGAGAAGTTAAGTAATTAGCATCTGCGTAAGTAAAAAGACACACAGTATGTAACACGCCTTGGATTCTCCTTCCTGCTGTTGTGCTCATAAATCCTTATAATCTTAATAAAAATAATTACCATATTTTTTGGACTATAAGGCGATTAAGATTATAAGGCGCATTAAGCAAAACAAATGGACAGCACTTGAGACTGATACCTTAGCTCAGGCATCCACGATCCATTGGCAGATTGTGGCGTAATTCGCCCGGCGTTGCCTCCCTGTCTTGGTGACTGTGTATTATGAATGTGAATGTGGGTGGAAGATTTATGTTTGTTTTGTTTTATTTCCTACTAGGTAATAATGTGTTTAATGTAGCTTTGCGCACATTTATTTATGTTTTACAGAAACAAAACCACATGGCTAATTTGCATAAACTATAAGCTCTGAAAAAACAGTTCTCTCCTCTGTCAGACTAAAAGGTCACGACTACAGTAATGCTCTGACAATCCATCAAGTGGTGTGGCTTCGTAGCTTACCGAAGTCGTACTAAAGCATTTTGACAGATTTTTGTGCGCTCTGTACCACATAAAATCAGTTCATAGTCAGTAAGTACAACCATAATTGATATATAAGGAGCACCGGATTATAAAGCGCGATTTTTGATAAAATTAAAGGATTTTAAGTGTGCCTTATAGTCCAAAAAATATGGTAGTTAACCAAGAAAAAAATTTGTCCAACTAAGACACCATCGACTAAAGAAATACAGCTTTATAGATTAGCAGTTATGGCTCCCCCTGGACGCTCCTGTGATACTCCAGGACACAGAGGAGGGACACTATGGCTCTTCCCTTTCCCCTCAAACTGCCCTGACACAGGATCTGCTGAGCCTACCTGACTAGTCCGCCTGTTAAACTGCACTGAGACCTTTAACTGAGACACAAAGGTGACTGAGAAGTGCAGTGTAAATGTAAATGTTCCAGCAAAACTTGAATTTCCCTCGGGATATATATATTTCTGTCTGTTTGCCCAAAGATATATGTGGCAACTGAGGTATCAATAAACAAACAAAAGTGTAAAGAGACTTGGAAGCGGAAGGATGTTAGACTAATGGAATAGTGTAAGCATAAAACTAATTGCCAACCACTGTTTTCACTCTTCCCTCCATCTCCGTTCTCTCTTTTTCACTGGTCTTTTACAGGCCTTGATTTCAATTGACTACAACACAAGTTTCCTAACATCGCTTCGCTCCCTGTAACATCTGTACCCACACCTCAATTATGAGCGTGTTACCTTCTGTACGGGAGGCGGATTAAACAAAGGCACGTCTCTCGGGGCTGGAGGGAGGGGTGGAGGGGTGTGGTGGGGAGGGGGGGTTAGGCGTGGGTGTGAGCGCAGGGTAATCGCTTCAGAGGGCCCCGGGATCGCAGCGTGCCGAGCCTGTTAGCGCCTCCACATCACAGGACGTCCTTCTCTGAGTGGATGGGAATGCCAAACATATCCCAGAGGGCGCACACTTTAAACAAACCCAGCGCGCCTCGGAAATCCTTTTGCTTTTGGCAGTCTGTGATCGAACAGAGCCCTGAGGAGCTATTTGAATAAACTCCATACAGCGTCGTAGATGAACGTGCATGTACACAATGAGGAGGATCCCTTTGAGGCGAGCGGGGAGCCACACATGTACGCACCACGTCAGACCACACAGGAGCTAACGCGTCATGTAACGGACCCAAACAGCAGGGTCTTTGTACTGCCATTGTGCACGCCATATATGTGCTTTGTGTTAACAACGCACATGCACTAGGTCACGATCAAGGGAGGGGCAGAACAGTTAGTCCATAGTACAGAAAATGTCATATCACATCAATGACAAGTCTATTGTAGTATTGTACTGCTTTGAGTCTAACCTTTAATGTACAGTATCAACACATGTATTGTTATAATCATGATTCCCATAATTGTATTTGATGATGTGTTGCTGTGGGAACAGAAATGTATATATAATTTTAGTTGCATTTAGGGCTATAACAACTGGATTATTGCAACTAATTTTTTTTATTTTTATTAATAGTCAACTAATTTGGCAATGAAATTATTGTTTTCTGGTGTATACATGGACAAAGGGGTTACAACAGGATGGGCATGTGGAGAAAAACCTTAAAATCATGGTCACTACACACAAGAAAACTTTTACAAGTCTGTCGTTAAACTGCCAATTGCTCTTACAGTATATTTTGAAGTAGAACATTCCCAGACAATATCAGTGTGCATATCCAAAAAAAAAGTCTTTCTTGATTTGAATCTTACCGTACAATCATAGAGACTATTGTTTTACAAGTGCTCTACATCCATAATTTCACATTCATGCCATCGGAAGTGAGCGGTTTAGAGTCACTACTTCAATGGACGCGCTGAAAAATGGAGAGCCACAACTGAAGCAACACGGTATTTACCCGGTGGAGCTGATCCAAAATACTTTCCAACTATTTCAGCCGTGCATTAAGGAATCATGAAAGGCCCATGCTCCCCAGTGTCCCTTTGCGCCCAGAATGGAACCACAGTCTTAATATCCCACTTCAA